TCTCAGCGGCACAATTTGTAAACTCCCAATGCCATCTTTACCGACGCCGCTCTCGATGGACAGAGCTTGGCCTTAGCATGGAACAAACCCTCGACCGGTGAGGCCAAGCGCTACACATGCAGAATTGACTACGCAACACCTACACAAGCAGAACTTTTGACCATCTGGACCAGCCTACAGGATAACAGCGCAGTCGACTATTTACACAGACTCATTAGCGGCATTAAGGGACATAGAAAATCCAAATACAGAAGATCTCACTGCTATACGCATGCCTGGAATTCTCCTGCAGGAACAGAAGAATGACAGCGGGCCAAGTGGGGATCCAGGGGATAGGTAACGGGGTGGCACACAGTCTTGCTACCTCGAATACAGGAATTCTACCTTATCATCGCCGACTTCTCCTGCGTGCATCTCCCGAGCTCAGAGGTTACCCCTATGCTAACTTGTCATCAAGCTCTCATTCTGAAATGGCACGCCTTTGGCACTTCCTCAAGTACATTAACTGGGAGGTACTCAAAGATGTCACTTTTGTATCTTTCAGAACATCGCCCTCACCCGATCTCAGGAAATATTCATTACCAAGTACTTGCAAATGCAGCCACTACCCCTAACATCACTCATAAATAGCAGACTGTTGATGACCGGAAGAGGGGGCTGGACACCTCCATCCCCTGCATATGTACCTTTTGCCACTCTTCATGCTTGGCCAACATGGAGCATCTCATTCTACACTGTCCTGCTCTACATCATTACTGCAAAAACATCACAATTTTGCTACATCCAGATTTGAAAGCGGTATAAAAGGACATGCTCGAGAACCCTCATCAGCTTGTCACATTAGCGCATTTCAGAATTAGCAACGGCTTGGCGCACGTGATTTATTGTGTGCCTATCACCCCTCCTTCACTCTCCCTTCAGTGACCTTAGGTCTTTTGTTTCTCTCATAAAAGAATTTATCTATCTATGTATCTCCCAAGGCTTGTCAGGGAAAGTTACCAGCTGCATAGGGGCTGCAGTAAGCTGTGCAGATTTGTCATGTGACTGGCAAAACAAGACATGTTTTAACCAGTTCTTCTACATGGTCATCCCTTTGAAGCCACCAGTATAACTCTCGCAGTCAACTTTTCGTACGACTGATCCCTGAATGCGACCAATGTGCGAGTCCTATCAAACGACGAGTAAGGCTACTTGGCACTATGATCCTTTCACCACGATGAAGCAAGTCCTGCATAGTGGACAGCTATCATTATTATTATTATTATTATTATTATTATTATTATTATTATTATTATTATTATTTGATTTGCATACACAGATACACAAGGACACAGAGGAAAGAGGGAGAGAGCAAGCTGGCAACTGCCACCTTGAGTGGCACACCGCCTGCTCACTTTTTCGGGAGGAAGGAAGAAACAGAAGAAACAAAGATTAGAGGGGAGAAAGAGGAAAGGGGATGAGGAAGAGAAAAAATTACATGCACGCGCATGAAAATACAGCATTAGTGCCACTTCTAAAGATATTTTTTCAAACCAAGATGAAAAACGAAGTCCAAGACTTTTGCGATTATCTTGTCAGATGCACTTGCTGCTTGTAATTCTGCCATGGTCAAGATTGAAGAAAGAAGGCAAACAAACTCATCGTCAGTGACCTGACCGGTTTCTCCTGGTAAACGCTGTTGAGAGAGTGCGTCAACCACCACATACATTATCACTGCCCTTGCGGTACTCTACAGTGTAGCCATAGCAAAGAAGTCGCCCTAACCATTGTGATTCCAATAATTTTTTTCATCCTGCGCAGCATGGCTTTAGGAAAGGGTATTCGTGTGAAACGCAGCTAGCTATGTTTGTTCACGACCTGCATGTTAACCTCGACTCTAACCTTCAGACTGACGCCATCTTCATCGATTTCGCAAAGGCATTTGACAAAGTTCCTCATGAGCGCCTACTACTAAAGCTTGCCGCGTTGAATTTAAATGATGACGTATTAGCATGGATTAAAGAATTCTTAACTAATCGTTCGCAATCAGTTTCCGTCAACAATCAAATGTCTAACACTACCCCGGTAACCTCAGGTGTCCCTCGGGTCTGTCCTGGGCCCGCTTCTGTTTTTGATTTACATTAATGACCTACCATTACATGTATCTCCTAACATACGCATGTTTGCAGACGACTGCGTTATTAATCGTAAAATAAACAACGTTTCGGATAACACGTCTCTTCAAACTGACTTACTAAGCTTACAGGATTGGTGTAACCTTTGGCTAATGGAACTCAACCCTAACAAATGTAAAACTGTTTCCTTTCACCGCCGTCGAAATCCGATAGTATTCCCGTACCAAATTGCTGACACAAACCTCGAATGAGTTCCTTCCTATAAATATCTCGGAGTAACCCTTTGTAGCGATTTAACCTGGGCAACGCATATTACGAACATCATTGCATCTGCTAACAAAACACTTGGGTTTTTAAAACGCCATTTGCGTCACGCTCCTAATAATGTCAAATTACTAGCTTATCAATCTCTCGTAAGGACGAAGATAGAATACGCATCAGCCATTTGGAGCCCGCATCAAGCATATCTCATCAATCAACTCGAGTCACTTCAAAATCGAGCCACACGATTTATTCATTCTACGTACTCTTACGACGTCAGCATATCAGCACTAAAAACAGAATCTGGCCTATCATTGCTTGCATCTCGTCGCCGCATTTTTAGTCTCTCCCTTTTTCACAAGTTTTTTTACAGCTCGCTCGGCAGGCCACCATACATTCTTCCTCCGGCACGCATCTCCCATCGCACTAGTCACCCGCAACAAGTTGAGCGGCCGCGTACGCGCACCGTCACTTTTTCGTCCTCATTCTTTTTTTGTGCAGCTACGGACTGGAACGGCCTTTCTAACGAAATCACCGCCATAACCTGTCCTACCACCTTTTTGAACACCGTAACAAATTACCTTGCATTGTAAAAAAAAATGGCTTTCACGTTTTCTTATATGTACCCACCCCTTATGTAATACCCCTTCATTGGGGTCTTTAAGGTAATAAAATGAAATGAAATGAAATGAAATGAAATGCGCAATGGCCGTTGTCCAGCCCTCTTAGTAAACAAGATAACAAGGGCACTGTGGTCAGTTCGTAGAAAGAAGGGACGACCCCACAGGCACCAAAGTTCACTATCCAAAATGCATGCTGCAGAGTATTTCCTTGCTTGTGTGCTCAACGTGCACAAGGCAAAGGCAACGGTCTGTAGAATTCCTTCGTTATAGCACAGCGCCTAGTCCATATCTGGAGGCATCAGTCGTGGCAATGACGGGAATGTTCGGTTCAAAGAAATGTAGAACCTTGCAAGTTGTCAGTAGCATTTTCAAACGAATGAAACTCACTTCATGAAACCATGGTTAGTGCCATGACCATGGTTTCACGTACCGTGTGACATAAGCAAACCTCGGCTACATGTAACTGCGGTTACGTTAATCGCCATTTAGGCTGCCTGTGTGGCCAAGTTATTAAACAGTAATGACTCACAAGAGTTGTTTAACCTCTGGTGCCTTTACAGGATGAAGCGTGCTTGCTTTTCTTTATGTTTTCACCCTTCTGCCTCCTGCAAAAAATTAAGAATCCTGTGTTCTGCATACAAAACATTCCCTATTCTATACCCCTCCATCCTCTTTTTTCTTTGACCCAAGATTATGAAACGAATTCTGTGAGTGGCCATTACACTGTGAAACACAAAACTGCTCTATAGATGAGTAAAGCACAGAATATCGAAATGATAATTTTTACTTAAAAAGCAACGAAATAGCTAGATTTGCTTCTTATTTCTAAACAGCTGGTTACACAGGTAACCACAGTCCTTGTGCAGATTGTGCCAGGATGTCTCACAACATTCCAGATTATCCTAGCATCTTGCAAAAGATGGAATGCACAACACGAGCAATAGTTTATTCTGGAATTAATGCGGCCCCCAGCTGAAATCTTCAATGCCACGTGCCAATGACTGCTGCCTGGGCTGTGGCTCTCACTGCACTTAAAGAGCGTTACTTCTTTTTACTGGACCTCAATGAAGCATTTCATCTTTACTGGCTGTGTTTTGCTTTCTTCACTGTCAAAGCGTGTGGCAATATTAAGGAAAGATGCAAGCCGACAAACAAGTTTTCGTTTTTTCCAAAATTTCATATTTTTGTTTTTATTTGCTGTCAAGTTGCTGTCACAAGTTTACCTTCTGTAAAAAAAGAAAAGTGAAAATAGTGATTTGAATTCCAAGTGAGTTGAGATTAAGGGCTCACTGTCCCCCTAGAAATCGTCACCTGGCTGCTTGTCATTGCGTTTCGCATGAGGAGTTCCCTGAAGCCACATGCTCTTACTAACACTGATTGCCAAGCTCTCTTATGTAAGAAATCATCTTAAAAAAGAGATTTTTTTCTACCTAAATCACAGTTCACTTATACCTTTACAATGATTTTTTGTTAAGATTCATTTTAGGGAACATTTTGTGTTAGAAAATCATGTTTTTGGTACTTTGGGTGGCCCGATCGTGGCAAAACTTTGCCCACATACTATTTACCATGAAAAGAGTGCAAGTACCTGATTTAAACTTGATATAGCTTGTCTAATTATTGCCAACCTAAAGTAAGCAAATAGTATGGGCCGAGCATTCCACAGATTCCCAGATCACAATTTTTTGTCTGTTAAATTGTTTCTCATGTACTTCCGTGGTAGTTGCTTGCATTTTACAGTTTCAGGTTGAGCATTACGAGCCAATAATGACTGAGAATAATAAAAATTAGAGGCAGAAAACGTTTGTCCAAAAAGAGCTATACATTAGATGTCGTCATGGCATAAAAAAAAGTGTGCAACTTACTATAAAACTAATTACATGCTTGCAATCATTATCAATATAAAAACCCACATATACAGCACAAATTTTATTGTTCTATGCTATAGACTAACGCTACTATATTTTTTTAATCGCCTCTACTCCTAAGAGAGTGTCCTTACCATGCTAAGCCTCTGCATTCGGTGGGTAAGGGAGTCCTTCTGAAAAAGAAGTGTGGAAAAGCATGAGGAGTTTAGGTATGAAAGAAAGAAACATCAGAAGGGTCATATTATTATAAAGAAAACAGACACGAAGTCCGGAAACATCATATACAGCTGTTGAGCACAAAACAAAAGGAATGTGTTGCCACTCGTCGACTAAATCCCGAGCACTAGGTATGTCCAAATGCACCTGCATGTAACAAGATAGAAGAAAGGTGGGGTAGTTGGTAGTTCATATTCATTGAGCCAATTGGGAGCACAGGAACCTACATAAGACAGAGGAGCACGTGCTGCATGGTTTCTCCTTTGTCCTTTGTGTGTTCCCGCGCTCCCAGTTCATTGTACGCATATGAACATCTGCATGTGTCTTTACGCATGAAATATGAAAGGAATAGCACAGTCAGTGTAGGTATCACCTAGCGAATGTGCATCGAATGTAGCAATTGAGCAGCATGCGAGTTATTGCATGCTGATACATATAGTCAAAACATGCTATCGTGAGTATTGCAAGGTGGAACATTGAATTCATATTTATTTAACATTTAACAGCTCACAAGGTGCTATGGCATTTAATACCAACGCGGTTTGATTGGGCCATTAACACCAAACTGAGAAAAGTGTTACAGAATTACGAATCATGAGTTGTAAAAAAAATAAAAAATAATAGTAAACACATTCTAAATAAGTTTAAAGACGAAGAGATGAAACTAGAATTCACTTGTGAGCTACCTCCCTCTAATAACTTGCTGTTAATAGACTGCAGAACATGTTTGAATTTTGCATCAGCATATCTGAATATTGTGTTGTAGCGATGCTGAGCCAGACAGGTTGAAAAAAACAAGCGTCTTTATTAGGGCGAACTTGTGCCCACGATTCTAAAGACTATGGTCGTCAAGTCCGAGTAGCCGAGTGGCACAGATCCAATTATCTTGCTCTTCCTCGTAGCCGGAGCGCACGAACACGTGGCGCATGCCAGTCGGGTCTTGCTGGTGCTGGTGCCACGATGATTGTGGCGGGCTACCTGAACGTGGCGAACCTGTCGCAGCATTAACCCCCTCCTCAGACGCATCGTCCCGATGCTTAAGACAGTGAAAAGATACATGTGCACTCTCACTCGTTTCCCGACGATCTGTCATGATAGGGCTTCATGCGGACTACGTGTACCACTTCCGTGGGATTGCGGCATCTTGAACTCACGTGTCCAGCGGATTTGTCCAGCGGATCTGATATGGTTGAGTACTTCATAAGGGCCAAAGTATCGGCAAAGAAGCTTTTCAGAGAGTCTGCGGTGGCGCACTGGTATCCACATCCACACTTTGTCACCGGGATGATAAAGTGTGGATTCGCAGCCAACGGCTCCCACGGCTAAGTTCTGCTCTCGCTGTTTTAGACACCATTGCCTCGTGCCCCTGATTGCTGTTCGGCCGCTCTCGTCACCGAGAATCGGAGCCGCTTCATTCCGTTCCTGCATCATCGATGTTCCCGTGATTCCATCCACTGACGTCGCAAAAAAGAGCAGCGCCACCGTGGGCTACAAAAAGAGTCATCATCATCATCATCATCAGCCTGACTACGTCCACTGCAGGACAAAGGCCTCTCCCATGTTCCGCCAGTTAACCCGGTCCTGTGCTTGCTGCTGCCAATTTATACCCGCAAACTTCTTAATCTCATCTGCCCACCTAATCTTCTGTCTCCCCATAACCCGCTTCCCTTCTCTGGGAATCCAGTCAGTTACCCTTAATGACCAGCGGTTATCCTGTCTACGCGCTACATGCCCTGCCCATGTCCATTTCTTCTTCTTGATTTCAGCTATGATATCCTTAACCCCCGTTTGTTCCCTAATCCATTCTGCTCTCTTCTTGTCTCTTAAGGTTACACCTACCATTTTTCTTTCCATTGCTCGCTGCGTCGTCCTCAATTTAAGCTGAACCCTTTTTGTAAGTCTCCAGGTTTCTGCTCCGTAGCTAAGTACCAGCAAGATACAGCTGTTATATACCTTCCTCTTGAGGGATAGTGGCAATCTACCTGTCATAATTTGAGAGTGCTTGCCGAATGTGCTCCACCCCATTCTTATTCTTCTAGTTAATTCAGTCTCGTGGTTCGGCTCTGCGGTTATTACCTGCCCTAAGTAGACATAGTCTTTTACAACTTCAAGTGCACTATTACCTATTTCGAAGCGCTGCTCCTTGCCGAGGTTGTTGTACATTACTTTCGTTTTCTGCAGATTAATTTTAAGACCCACCTTTCTGCTCTCCTTGTCTAACTCCGTAATCATGAGTTGCAATTCGTCCCCTGAGTTACTCAGCAATGCAATGTCATCGGCGAAGTGCAGGTTACTAAGGTATTCTCCATTGACTCTTATCCCTAACTGTTCCCATTCTAGGCTTCTGAAAACCTCCTGTAAGCACGCGGTAAATAGCATTGGGGAAATTGTGTCCCCCTGCCTTACACCCTTCTTGATTGGTATTCTGTTGCTTTCTTTATGAAGCATTATGGTAGCAGTTGATCCCCTGTAGATTTCTTCCAGAATGTTTATATATACTTCATCTACGCCCTGATTCCGCAGTGTTTGCATGACAACAAAACATGCGTCATGCAAACAAAAAGAGTACCGGCCATCAACTCTCTGGGATTCGCGGCCAATGGCTCCCACAGCTAAGTTCTGCTCTGGCTGTTTTAGACACCATTGCCTCGTGCCGCTGATTGCTGTCCGGCGGCTCTCGTCACCGAGAATCGGGGCTGCTTCATTCCGTTCCTGCATCATCGATGTTCCCGTGATTCCATCCACTGACGTCACAAAAAAAGCAGCGCCACCATGGGCTACAAAAAGAGTACCGGCCATCAACTCTCTGGGATTCGCGGCCAACGGCTCCCACGGCTAAGTTCTGCTCTCGCTGTTTTAGGTAGGCATGTAGTTTGGCACAAGTTGCTGCTTTATACGTTCCCTCGAGTGTATGGCCGCTGATCCCGCTCTGTTGCATCTTTTTTACTTTTATTGGAAGTGTGATGGGTGTTGACGTGTTGACCTATCGCGTGAGGATTGGCTCATTTATTCCTTGCCGGCAACCTAGGAAGTCCCGCAATGCTCGCTTTAGCTTTGCGTCCCCTTTTGTTAGATCCCTGTGCCCTAGACCAATCTTCCTGCTTCTAGGTTCGGTTATTTCACTCACGTGGAAACTAACCCTGGTCCTAAGATCGATGATGTTCTCGCCCTAATGAAAGCTACTCTGACCACAATGAGACATTTAATCAATAGTATTAATTCAAGACTCTGTGCAATAAAAAATAACCTGAGTAAAATGTCACAAATTGAAACAAAGTGTGAGAATGTAGGCGACTCTGTACGCGAAGTGAAGACAAGCATCACAAAGGTAAACGATGAATTATTTGACGTAGTTGATGATATCAATAACAGAATGCGAAGGAACAACTTGATTGTCAAGGGCATAGCCAAAACAGAAAAGGAGGGGTACAAAGAGTCAGAAACAACCGTGAATTCTTTGCAACTCACCTAGGCGTACAAACCGGGGACATCGAACGCACTCACCGATTGGGTCAGCGGCGTGCGAACGTCGACCGGCCCACAATCCTAAAATTTCTCAACTTTAAATCAAAAATGGATGTTTTACGCAATACCCCTAAACTTAAAAAGATTTCTCTCCTGAAGTACAATAGGCGTGCAAAAAGCTTCGGGAATTCGTCAAAGCGACTCGCAATGATAACGAAAGCTATTCACTCTGCTTCAACCTCCTTTACTTCCGTAAAAACTCTTATAGGTATGAATCTAGCACAGACAGTATCGTCCAAGTACCCGCACCTCCACCAGAAATGTAGCGATGCTGACGCAGACAGGTTAAAAAAAACAAGCGTCTTTATTAGGGCGAACTTGTGCCCACGATTCTAAAAACTATGGTCGTCTAGTCCGAGGAGCCGAGTGGCACAGATCCAACTATCTTCCTCTTCCTCGTAGCCGGAGCGCACGAACGCGTGGCGCATGCCAGCCGGGTCATGCTGGTGCTGGTGCCACGATTATTGTGGCGGGCTATTTTAATGTGGCGAACCTGTCGCAGCTGTATAATGAGGAATAATGATGTAGTGCTTACGATCGGCATTGAAAAAAATAAATGCACATATTAACCAAGCAATATAGTTTCTAGCTGCAAATTATTCTCCTTAAAGAGGTGCAATATCCTGCGCATCATATTGAATTGATTTGCAAAACAGCTGATTCGCACAGCTAAAGAATATGAATAAAGATCTCCTCCAACCGTGAAGAAACTAGGAATGTGTCAGTTATTCCCTGTACACCTGAGTTGCTATGTCTAAAAAAAAGTTGGGAAGCAGTACGGGGGGGGGTGTTTTCCACACTGTAAACTTAGTAATCTGATTAGTTATGTTGTGCACAAAATGTCGTCGCAGCTGCCTGCATCAGAGGCATGCCGATTGTTACTTGTGTAGGACTTGGTAATTAAATTCCTCTTGTCTTCGCACTCGACAGGCTGGTTCATGCATTAACCCTTGCCTGAGAAAGCGTTGATATTCTTTTAAAGGAGCCGTCTCATTGCACCTTGAATTTGCAGTCCTGCAACCGTAATTTCATCTTTCAAGGCATGGTAATCTTGCACAGTAACCTTAGGCTGACTCCTCGAAAGACAGCATGCCGTCACAGCATGTCGTCATGTCGCAACGTGATGGGAGACTGAAAACACCAGTAAAACGTGTCGACAAACTTGTCATCAGCAGGTTGTCAGGGGATCAGTGACCGAGAGAAAATTTGCTCCAGTTGCCGCTTACAACTATGAGGGAAGTAAGGAGGCCCCACTCGAGACTTAATGGTAATCACAGTTTGATATACAAGCGTGCTACGTAGACAGAAACAGAAAAGACAGGGACAGGTCTGTCTTTCCTGTCCCTGTCTGCATATCGCGCTCGTATTTCAGACTATGCTGAACCACCAACTTGCCCAACAACCATTTTGACAACTTAATGGTAATCTTGCA